GGTTGAGCCTCAGGTAGCCAGCTCAAGGTTGACTCCGCCTTCTATCCTTCCAAGGTCAGTGAAATGATTACCCAGCTCATCTGAGGTCAGTGAAATGAGTACCCAGCTCATGGGGTGGGGATGTGCAGCCTGCATAATTAACTTGTAAACTGCCCAGAGAGTGCTTGAAGCACTATGGGGCAGTATATAAGCAGCACACTTTTTTAGTGTTTTTCCCCAAGGACTTAACATGTATGCACTTCAATCTAGTGCTGCACCACCTATTGATAATTAATAATTGCATGCCATCAAGTCAGTTCTAATTTATGGTGACCCTTTCCAGAGTCCTGTAGATAGAGAATATGCAGAAGTGGTTTACCATTCCTTTCTTCTGGGGATGCCATGGAACTGTGCAGCTTGCCCAAGGCCACCCAGGCTGGCTCTTCTTTGGATCTGCCACAATGGAGGATCCAAATTTCAAAATTTGGCTCTGCGGCCAGATAACTAAAGTTCTCTCATGCAGACAAGTGGCAGTGTACAATTACATGTCATGATGTTCAGTAGGATTCCTTTATTTTTCCCTCTGTTTGTGTTTTCCAGCCCTTGGTGGAACTTGGAAGCCCCAGGAAGAAGGAAAGGGCAAAACACATCAAAACCTGGTACCAACGAAGTTTCATTGTTTTACCCTGCAGATTCAAGTTTCTTTCCAATGGAATCCAAATTTCAGCAGGATTCATCTGGATGGCCTCTTTATAGCATTCCCTCTACCCTAGAGGAGCTGAATGGGAACGTACTATCCCACAAGAATCGTAACCTGTTTGCATAACAAGTAGAGAAATGACTATGTAGCATAGACAACCTACAGACTTTAGTTATGAGGCTGGACAACTCAGTCTAAAGTACTGGGGCTAAATACATTGGTGCCTCGCTTGACAACATTAATTCATTCCAGCGAAATCGCTGTAGAGCAAAAACGTCGTCAAGCAAAATAAAAAAGCCCATTGAAATGCATTGAAAATCATTCAGTGTGTTCCAATGGGCTGAATACCTGCTCATCCAGCGAAGATCCTCCACATGGCACCCATTTTTCCACAGCTGAGAGTCCTTTCGGCTTTGGCCCAATCACTTCATTAGCTCTGGAGCTACTTGTACTTGTCCTCCGCTCTTCCTCAGTAGCATGTTGGACGCCTTCCGACCTGAGGGGCCCATCTTCCAGCGTCATATCTTTTAGCCTTTTGTTTCTGATCATGGGGCGTTCTTGGCAAAGATACTGGAGTGGCTTGCCATTTCCTACTCCAGGTGGATTGCGTTTAGTCGGAACTCTCCACTATGTCCTGTCCGTCTTGGGTGTCCCTGCACGGCATAGCCCATAGTTTCTCTGAGTTACTCAAGCCCCTTCGCCACGACAAGGCAGCAATCCATGAAGAGGTTTGTAGAACTAACAGCATCGTAAACAGTGGGTGGTAGAGAGCTAGAAATGTGGGTGCATAGGTCTATTTTAAATGTGCATGCTACATGGTCTGCTTTAAGCTGAAATTGGTTTTGTGTTGTTATTATTTTTATTAAGCACCCCTTCTGCCCTCACTGTCTGAAACAGGGGGTTCTTACAAATCTGTTTTTCAGTTTCTGTCCAGAATTGTTGAAACCAGATGAAAGAGGTATCAATCAGCTCTGAGTCCTCATTTTATATAAACAGAGAAGAAAGCAAAGCTCTGGGAACTGTGATATTCTGTTCAGACACAGGAAAAGCCGGTGAATGTTGTCATTATTGTGATCAAGGTACTGCTGCTAATGGAACAGGTGAGACTTCCAAAAGAAACAAAAGATTCCAAATATGGGAAGTAGAGGGACAGAGCACAATATAATGGAGAAAATGGACAAATAAATAAATGGTTGTATATGCCAGTCCATAATAATATAACCTTGAAAACAAGTCCACAAGTTTTTAGTTCTCTCTTGCCTGTCTGCTCAAACAGACCTCATGTTAGCTATCTGAGGTTTTTTTTTAAGAAAAAGGATAAAAGTCTCAAGTTTATGAAAGTACCATGGCTTTGATGCTGAGAGCCTTTCTTATTTGCTCTGGGAAACTAGCAAATGTGTATTTACAAAGCAGCAACAACATTTTGTTTTCTGCTCAGCTATATTCATAAGCTACAGGGGGGGGAAATTGTATACACACGGCACTAATATTCACAAGGAGAACATAAATAAATTTCACTGCAATCTCTATTTCCCTCCCACCATAGAGGACAGCAGAACTGAAACACCGAATTCAACAATAGTGCTTAAACACGGTCCATGTTGGCTGGAAAGCCCGGACACTGGAAAACTAGGAGCAGAGGCAAAACACCTCTGTAACTTGGATCATATTTGTGCCATACATTTTTGAGCACTGAGGTCTACTTCTAAAACATGGCATAAGCTTACAAGCCTAGTATGCAATGTCTTTCCTTCCTCCTGTCACCACAGTTCCTGCTTCCTGTTACCCAGTGACAGATTAAAAGTTCTTCAGAAAGCCACATTTCTTTTATGTCTGTGCTCAAGTTCTACAGCTGTATAGCTTTGCTATGGCAGCAAGAATTGTCAAGGTATTTACTGACAGGCAAGCTCTGCCTCCTAACTAAAGGGCAAGAAAAGAACCTATGCCACTCTCATAACAAGGTAAGCAAGGACAGAAGAGAATGCCGCAAATCATATCAGTCTCACAAGCTGTCAGTTCACTGATACAATTTGTTGTTGTTTAGTTCTTAAGTCATGTCCGACTCTTCGTGACCCCATGGACCAGAGCACGCCAGGCCCGCCTGTCTTCCATTGCCTCCCAGAGTTGAGTCAAATTCATGTTGGTCGCTTCGGTGACACTGTCCAACCATCTCATCCTCTGTCATCCCCCTTCTCCTCTTGCCTTCATACTTTCCTAACATCAGGGTCTTTTCCAGGGAGTCTTCTCATGAGATGGCCAAAGTATTGGAGCCTCAGTTTCAGGATCTGTCCCTGCAGTGAGCACTTGGGGTTGATTTCCTTCAAAATGGATAGGTTTGTTCTCTTTGCAGTTCAGATGCTCAAAATCCTCCAAGGTAGGCTTCAGCAGTATGCGGACCGAGAACTCCCAGAAGTACAAGCTGGATTTCGAAGGGGCAGCGGAACTTGAGACCAAATTGCTAACTTGCGCTGGATTATGGAGAAAGCCAGAGTGTGCCAGAAAAACATCTACTTCTGCTTCATTGACTATGCAAAAGCCTTTGACTGTGTGAACTACAGCAAACTATGGCAAGTTCTTAAAGAAATGGGAGTGCCTGACCACCTTATCTCTCTCCTGAGAAATCTATATGTGGGACAGGAAGCAACAGTTAGAACTGGATATGGAACAAGTGATTGGTTCAAAATTGGGAAAGGAGTACGACAAGCCTGCATATTGTCCCCCTGCTTGCTTAACTTATATGCAGAAAACATCATGCAGAATTAAGATTGCTGGAAGAAAAATCAACAGCCTCCAATGTGCAGATGATGCCACTCTGGTAGCAGAAAGGGAGGAGGAATTAAAGAACCTCTTAAGGAGGGTGAAAGAGGAGAGTTCAAAAAATGGTCTGAAGCTCAACATCAAAAAAACTAAGATCATGGCCACTGGTCCCATCACCTCCTGGCAAACAGAAGGGGAAGATATGGAGGCAGTAACAGATTTTACTTTCTTGGGCTCCATGATCACTGCACATGGTGACAGCAGCCACGAAATTAAAAGACGCCTGCTTCTTGGGAGGAAAGCGATGACAAACCTCAACAGCATCTTAAAAAGCATAAACATCACCTTGCCGACAAAAGTCCGCAGAGTCATAGCTATGGTTTTTCCTGTCGTGATGTATGGCTGTGAGAGCTGGACCATAAAGAAAGCTGACCACCGAAGAATTGATGCTTTTGAATTGTGGTGCTGGAGGAGGCTCTTGAGAGTCCCCTGGACTGCAAGGAGAACAAACCTATCCATCCTAAAGGAAATCAATCCTGAGTACTCATTGGAAGGACAGATCCTGAAGCTGAGGCTCCAATATTTTGGCCATCTGATGAGAAGAGAAGACTCCCTGGAAAAGACCCTGATGTTGGGAAAGTGTGAAGGCAAGAGAAGAAGGGGACGACAGAGGATGAGATGGCTGGACAGTGTCTGCGAAGCAACCAACATGAATTTGACGCAACTCTGGGAGGCAGTGGGAGACAGGCGGGCCTGGAGTGCTCTGGTCCATGGGGTCACAAAGAATCAGACACGACTAAATGACTAAACAACAACAACACTTGCTGTTTTTAGCTTCACATGTTGTCTTTTAATGATATAAGCCACCTTAGGGCCTTATTCTAGTAGAAAGGTGGGGTAAAAATATCTAAAATAAATAAATATAGGTACCCAAAAATGTTTCCCCATCACAACAAGTAATTATGTTCATGCTAGTCCAACATAAAATAGAACCACAATACAATTACTGACCTTATAGAATAGGAACTAACAATCCTGTGAAAACCACATCTGGCTATGTGCATATAGTGGTGCCTCGCTTGATGAGGATAATCCATTCCAGCAAAATCGCTGTAGAGCTAAATCCTCATCAAGCGAAATGAAAAAGACCACTGAAATGCATTGAAAACCGGTTCAATGCATTCCAATGGGCGAAATACCTCAGTGTCAAGCGAAGATCCTCCATAGGACGGCCATTTTCCGGCGCCTGTCTTGCAAAAAAAGCCTTCCTAAACACAGCAGGGAGCCATTTTAAACAGCGGGTGGCCATTTTGAAACCCGATGATCAGCTGTTCTCGTAAAGCAAAAAATCAGTTCCCGAAGCAGGGAACCGATAATTATAAAGCAAAATTTCCCTATCTAAACATCATTTTGCGATAGCAAAAGTGATCGCAAAAAACTTGTTAAGCGATTTCCTCATCTAATGAGGTAATGGTCAAGCGGGGCACCACTGTAGTTATGAGCTAAACACATCACCCAATCACTCTGTAACATGCTCAGCAATGTACAAGGCACATTTTCTCACCTAGAGGCCTTTCTGACTCTCGCCTTCTCGAAAGAAAACCTGGGTTGTTCCGTCAGGTCGTATGTCCGGGTTGTCGGCTCTGCTGACACGCCTTCCTTGGCCCCTCTCCTCCTGTTGCTGCATGCTGCTTGGCTGCTTCGGGGCGGTTCTTTAAGAGGTGAAAAGGGGAAGGGGTTTGTTCCCTGGGTGTCCACCACATCCTGAAGTTTATTCAGCTGGATGCATTTACACTTGAGCTCCTCGGTGAGTTCTGCAATGGTCCTGGTTTGCTTAGCCAGTTGCTCCTGGAGCTCCAGAATATGGTAGTTCCTTTCATGAAGCTCTTCTTCCTGCCTCTTCAGTTCCTTTTCGAGCTCCCAAACCCTGCTCCTCAGAATATCTGCAGCACCAGTTATGGTACTGATGTTCAAACCTGGGTCTTTCAAAAATTTACTACTGCCACCTGCGCATCCATAAGGGCAGTTTCCAGCATGATTCTCTGGCCTCTTCAGGTATTTGGGTTTCACTGAACCATTTCCCATTTGGGACGGTGACCTACAGAAAGAAAACAGATCATTAACCTAAGAGCAGAAAGCTAAGAGAGACAGATCTTTCTTTCTGTACAGTGACAAAAGACAGAAAGGGGTCCTCGCTTCTCTCTCTCTTTAATCCATTATAAATCCATCAAGAGCCGTGGTTCCCAACGTTGGGTCCCATAGATGTTCTTGGACTACAACTCCCAGAAATCCTGGCCAGCACAGCTGATGGTGAAGGCTTCTGTGAATTTTAGTCCAGGATCCTCTTGGGATGAAAAGTGGGGACACAAGGTTGAGAACCACTGTTCTAGAGTAATCTCTGCCTTTGACCCACTACACATTTTAATTAAATGGTAAATGCAACTATTTTTATTATACTTAGATTAAAGCACTGAAGGAGAAATCAGTTAAGAGTAGACGGGGGGAGCAACCCTTTCTTGCTATTGCACGATGCTTTCTTGTTTTGTTTCATTTTGCTTTTTAAATGATGAGAAAACTAGAAAGTCATTTCAAATTCTTCAGCACAACGTGCAAGTGTCAAATACTGAGCTATCAAATGGACCCAGAGCTGAAGAAACATTTTGATGCTAGTTTTCAGATTTCCAAGTGTCAGGCATACAACAAAGGGGAGTTCTGCAGTTCTTCTGCTGATCCCACCCCCACAGGTGGATTTTCCACACACACTTTCATTCTTATTTTCCCCCCCTTCAAACTGAAAGTTTCAGAACACTTTTGGAGGATGTGTGAGTGAGTGGGTGAAGAAATCAGGACAAATATTGAATAACTGCCATGACAATGTGTGGTACAGACAAATTCTGTGGCAGGCAGTTTCCACTGCATCTAAAAATCAGTACGTGGGTTAACTTTTAGGAATGTCAAGAATCAAATCCACACCCAAATATGTTGCTGCCTGAGACACAGAACAGTGACCTCCCCCCTGCCATACTAGGTATAAAATCGAATTTAATTGATAACTCAATCTTTCCTCAACATACAACAACCTCCTCCATCACATCTGAAGGCCATGAGCATCCATAAGGGATGCGATTGTTGTTGAACTCTCCACTTGAATCCTTTCAGCACCTTGGACAGCTTCCTGAAGTTCAAATGGAAATCCAGGGGAGATTTACCAATCCACTGACATCAGAGCCACCAGCCTCCACTGCTTGCCAACTATGGGATCCTAAGTACATTTGTTATGTTAATGCACACATAGTGGTGGCAGCGGTGTGCATTATCCATGCACACTATGCTAACATTCTATTAGGTAGCTTTGATACCCGCAGCCTTAAAAAAATTATGTGGGTGTTCTTTCTGAAGACAGCAGAGTGACCCATGGGATGCTCACCTCCCACACCTTACTGCACACCCACAGCATCTACTACCTGAGGCAACCGTCTCACTCTGCCTAATGGTAGGGCTGCTCCTGATGGGGATGTCAACTGCCATGTTTTGCAAACTTGTCACCCAATTAGACAGTATCAGCAGACAGCCCCACTACCCTTTCAAATGTTTGCTCATTGTCTTCCCAAGTAACATGTGGCCACATCCTGTTTCCTCAGATAATGTGGGACAAAATGGTTAGGTAACCCCTTTTATGATGTATGTGCTCTGCACTCATTAATGGTAATAACGGTTTGCCGGCAACTTAAGATGGCCGTTTTCAGGTACAGAGTACTCGGAGGTGGTTTATCATTCCCCTTCTTTTGAGGGCATTCTGGGACTGTGAAGATTACCCAAGGCCCCACAGGTTGGCTTTACTCCCAGGAGATACAGTGGTGAATTGAAGTCCCAACCTCTGGCTCTGCAGCCAAATGCCTAACTCACTGAACTCTCTGGCCAGCCTCTGTCTTTTGAGGGCATTCTGGGACTGTGAAGATTACCCAAGTTGGCTTACACAGGTTGGTTTTACTCCCAGGAGATACAGTAGTGAATTGAAGTTCCAACCTCTGGCTCTGCAGACAAATATCTAACTCACTGAGCTCTCTGGCCAGCCTCTATGCTGATTGCATCTCATAACGTGCTCATTGCCAAGGGAAGACAGGGCTGTTTTTACTTCTGGCTTGGTAACAACCCATTATCGGTGTCAAGGGAGTGCTTTCTAAGCACATCTCAACATGGAATGAATTTCAGAAATGCACATGACCTAAATCTAACTCAGAATTAGAGGACAGGAAGAGCACTCCACCAGCTCTAGACCATCAATCCTGTGTAATATATAAAAAAAGGAGAGCACTCATTAGCATAGTACAGCTACTGGGCTCTGTACACCAGCAGCACTGCTGTTTTGAGAGACAAGCAGAGCTTTGGCTCATAAATCTCTCTGCATACCTCTATCCTAGAGGTATCGTTGCTGCAAGCAAGGGCGTTGGCAAGTCACTGGGTCGGAGTCCCAACTCTGAGTTCAAGTCTTTGGTACCAAATCCTGAATCCTTATTAAAAGCAAGCAATATTTCCCCAGAAAAAAAAGGGAGAGGCAGGTGGGTTCTGATGCACGAGTCAAGTCCAAATCATGGAGAAAACAAAACAAACCCTGAGTCAAGTCACCAGTGAGAGGCAGTTAGTCTCACGAGTCCTCAAGTCCCTGGTCCCAAGCAAACTTATCATTGACTAATAGCTGCAGGACTGTGACTGTTGCTATTGCTTTTCTCCTGGGTGGGGGGGGGGCACGGGATGCTGTCTTCCTTCCAAGATGCACCAGAGAATGGCCAGCTATTGCATCTCAGCCCAAGCTTTGCCTTAGCACTGGCCTAAGCCTGGCAGACGATGAGCCTTCTCATCCACTCATTCTGTAACAGCAAAGTTAGTTATCCAAGTCCCATCTTACACAGGTCATTATTTATAGATTTCCTGCTGTTCTCGGCCAGATGTCTGCCCTGGTGGATGGAAACAGCCATCTCTGTCTTCTACGCATTATCTGCTTTGCGGTTTGGATCTAATGGGGAGGATGTCTGGCTGAACCACACTTTTCTGCCAGGAGTGCCAAAATCCCAGTGCCAGGAGCAATTTAGAACTTAAAACCGGAACCTTTCTGCTTCTTTCCTCCACACCAATATCTCATGCAAAACCTGAATGCTGCCACTTTCTCTTATGTCCCTTTTGTTCTCGCACCATTTTCTTATTTTATTTATTGATTGATTTAATTTATATACCGCCCACACTACCCAAAGGTTTCTGGGTGGTTTACAGCAATTTAACTACAGTAAAAAAAGATAAGACAATTAAAATACAATTAAAATATATATATTCTAAAAGTTGCCATCTTTTTCCTCACCTAGATTAGTCCTTCCTCCCATTTTACCATATTAAATGTTTAAACAAATTATTCACAGTATTCTTTTTTAATTTTTTTTTTACACATGCTGCTTGAATGGAGACTTGCTTTATCTCCTCTGTGTCCTTGCTGCTCCTAATTTTGCTTTCTTCAACTGCCCCCCACTCCCCGCTGTCCATTTTTGGCCTTATCTACTTTTTTTGTTCCATATTCTCTTTCCTTCCTTTTAAAAGCACCAGCATCGCTTGGACGTGAAACTTCATTTCAGCCGCAGCTCATCAGGACCTGCTTCCTAGAAAAATCTGTGTAGTTCCTACATTTTGCAACAGGTTTTGGAACCAGATGCTTCTGCCTCCCCTCTCTTCTTATGGAAACAGAAAACATACAGAAAAGTATACATTTATTAGGCAAGCAGCTTGCTCCCAAAAGCTCCAGAAAGGTATCATTTTATCCTGACAAGACTATGGCATGGTAGGTACATATAAGATGAAATTACTGGCACAGCCATAATGGTAGATTTGAAGTACAGCTACTCATCATGGCAGTCTCTGGAGCCTCACACCCAAGAAAACCTGCAATTCCAGGCTGATATATGTTTCTGTAAAAACGAACCAGTTCTAGCAATTTTTATCTCCACAAGAATATATATATCTTGTTATTTTAAGTTAAGGAGTTTAAATGGTCATTCAAAACAATGCTGTCACAAGATATATTCTTGCTGGAAAAATCCGTCCCTACTACCTGTTATCGGGAGGGTTGGAGATACAGGGGATACAGGGCAGCCTCAATGAGTGTGTGTGTATGCACATGTGTGTGTATGCACATGTGTGTGTATGCACATACATGTGCCTGGGTGTACATGCATGTATGCAAGAGTGTATGGCAGAGGTTGTCATTATCCCCAGCGATTAAAAAGCCCTGTGGTTTCAACCCTGCAAGTGGAAAGAGTCAACAGCATGGATGTTAGAGTTTGCTTTTTGGAAATGGACCCTTAGATGGATACCAGTGTATAAGAGAATGGATGCTGATATGTGTAAATCAGAGAAAAAGAAGGTGGAATGGATGTACATGTCTGGCTGTCGGACATGTCCCAGAAGGATCTACTATGTACCACAGTGATGTGACACTCTGGAAATGTGAGTGGCACATAGTAGACACCCAGCAAACTGGTGATCATGATCATAGAGGGATTTGGCTGTGCTGCTGAGCTCTTCCATCGCTCTCCTCTGTTGCCGTGCTGTTTAATTAACCAACACAGGACCCAATGTGTCATTAAGTCACATCAGATCTTCATCTCATCCTCCAGTTCTCCCCATCCTGTCCCCAGGAGCAAAAGCTTGTGCCCAGTTCTGATGAAATAGCTAGTCATTCTCTTGTGCATCTTGGAAGCAGTGCAGTTATTATGATAATTCCCAGCCATGGTTATTTAATATACAGATATGCACACATCAGGCAAAATGTCCCCATGTTATATAAACCTGATTCCCCCCCCCCATTAGATATACTATGGGAAGCAGAAAGTAACAGATATGCAAGGTCTCAGTAGATGAAATTCATGTTTCATCCCATTGGTCCACCATTCTCTTTTTCTGCAAAGACCGACTTGGGGGAAATCCTAGCACATGTTACAACGGCAGTAACATTCGACAACTTCACTGGAATGGAAGTCAGCTCCATATGTGTGAAATATAATGCATTCTATATTCATTAAGCCCCAGGTCTACCGAGCACAGGTGACGGGTCTAGGGGATCTGTATGCATGCTGGATCTCAACACGTACCACCCTGAAGAAGCCCATAAAGTACCTGAGTCCCCTCCCCCCACGCCACCCATCTCTCCCATCAGACCATCATATGTGCAACAGTTGCAAAGTCTCCCTGCCTGCTGTGGCACAGAGGTGGAATGCAACCTCTCCCGCAGTGCCAGGTAACATGGATCGGTGGTTGCATCTATGACCAGCACTTTCCGGCAACCTCTCCCGCAGTGCCAGGTAACATGCATCGGCGGTCCTCTCAGCATCATTGACCAGCACTTTCCACCAGCACCTGAAAACAGGGATTTGTCTCCTAAAACGTATGGAGATGGTGGTGCATCCTTTGATCCCATTGAGTCACACAGGGTTGAAACACCTGGATTCTTCACCTCTCCCAGCGCCCAGTCCCCTACTCCACTCAACCCTGGGTGATCCTTTCAACCAAGGCATGTTTCAGGGAAGATGAAGATCTTAATGCCTGTTTAGCAGTGACAGTTAATTCGAGGCGAATTAATGCCGCACACCCCGTTTGCCCCTGTCACTGGCAGTCCTGCACGCCAAGTTCCATTACACAGGCATGGAAACCCCACCACCACTTCGTAAACATGCATACACATCCCACGGTATAGGTGGGATGGCATTGCATCAAACACATACATATAAACCCAAGATGCCTAGACTTGAACTATCAGCACGCTGAGCCCACCCCACCCCACCCGAGACCCTTCCAGTGCGTCTCCTCTTCCTCCTTCTCGGCTTCTTGCTTCATCTCTCTCACATACACACATACACACACAAAAACACTAGACCCGGAGCATCCCTAGCAGCTCCGCTCACCTGGTCGCTCAGGTTGGTGGGGCAGCAGCCCACCCCTCTCGGATCCCTTCCTCCGCCTTTCCGAGGGACAGAGGCGGCTCCCCCCGTCCTGAGCAGCGGGGCTCGCGGGGAGAGGAGCGGGAGCGGAGGCAGGAACGAAGAGACTGGGGCGAAAGAGAGAGAGAGAGACGCCGAGAGCGAGCGCCAGGCGAGAGCAGACAGTGCGCAGAGGACGGCCCCGCTCGCCGCCACCACCCGCCCCGCTCCCCGACTGCTTGGGAGAGCCGAGGACTGGCAGACGCGCAGGCGGGCGAGCGGGACTGGGGACCAGGGGCTGCCTCCCCGCGCCCAGGAGAGGAGGCGGAGGAAGAGGAGGAGGAGGCGGCAGCGAGGGGGGGAGGGAGGGGGGGAGGGGAGGGAGGGAGGCGCAGGGCGGGAACGGCAGCCGTGCCAGCCGGTTTGCCCTGTGCTGTGCCCGCAGCCCGGGGCGGGGTGGAAGCGAGCGAGCGAGCGAGCAGGCAAGCTCTGCCCTGGCTTTCGCTCTGCCAGGGTGGGCCAGGCGCACCGCCCGCCTGCTTATCCCCCGGGAGGGCGCAGAGGCGAGGTAGAAGGGATCGCGGAGCGGCGGGATTCGCACGTGCAGAGAGCCTCCCCGCTGGGACCAGGGTGACTTAAATGTATGAATGCACCAGGGCTGACCTGACTGACTCAGAACTGCAGGGCTGGAAGGTACCCTTGTGGGTCATCAAGTCCAGCCCCCGAGACAGCGGGGAATCGAACTGCCAACCTCCAGCTCAGCAGTCAAAAGCCCTGAACCACTGAGCTCTCCAGCAGCTCTAACAGAGACGATTCGAAACTGCATTCTATTAAATCAAAAGCAATGCCATCATCATCATCATCATCATCATCATCATCATCATCATCATCATCATCATCATCATCATCATCATTAAAAAACACCAGGCACAGACAACATTACAAAAACATTGACTGGTATTATATAACGGATCCAAGTTTTTACCAAAAACCTAAGTGTGTTTCTTCCAGAGGTGAGATGTTTCGATTGCCAGGTTTCCATACTTTGTTGGTTATTCCAGTTCTTTATTCTTAACTCCAGCATCCCCTGGAATTGCAATATCAATGATCCAGACATTTTTTCATTCTGTTACTACTATGTCTGGTGTGTTGTGTTCAAGGCATCTTTGATACCTTGTGGCTGTTTGGAACCTTCATACATGTCTCAGAATGTGAAGGGGACCAAATACACTAACAAACCATACCTGTTTCTTTCACAGAAAGACCCACAGAAGAAATGCAAGTGAAGCTGCACTGAGAATGTGGACGTGAACCCCAAGTATCTGTTTGTGGAGAAGGAGGCAGCCACATGGACAACCAGTGATTTTGCTTCAAATTCCACTTCAGTCAAGATATGTAATTTGGTGGGACTTCTTAGTAAACTTTGGGAAAGATAAGTATTTGAAGTGCTCCACCCAGATTCTAGGAAATGTAATCCAAAAAGGAACTTTTGCAAGTTTTTGCTCTTCGGGTCTGTGAATGGAATGCACAGTGGTGGCCTTTGGGTCTTGATCTGCTCCAGGAGGGCAGCACAGTCAATCAAAATTATAAATATTGGTGCTATATAACAGCAGTTATAACAGTTTTAACTGAAAACCTAAGTATCTGTTAAATATGGGCACAAAAGGTATGCTGTTCCTAATATTGCCATTTTCAAAAGCTCTGGTGGTATTATTACTGAGATCTGCAACTACTTGTAATACTGTGTGAACTTTCTTGATATTGTTACCAAAGCCCCAATGACTTTGGGGACCGCTAAAGTGCTGCTGCTGCTGCTGCTACTGTTGTTGTTATTTACAACCATAAGTCAGCTGCTCGGAAACAGTACAAACCAAACAGGAAAATATGTAAGGACAGCCTAACAAGGAATATTATATGCCTGGGACAGATTTAAATCCTCATTAAAACTATTCAGTATCTCCCTATAGTTTATAGAGTGATTTACCCATTGCTTCCTTGTTGACCCTGCCACTACACAGAATTTTGACTGATGAAGGCTGCTATTTGGTTTCAGTAGCTTCCCTTCTTTTATTGCAACATTATATTTTTACTTAGCATTGTTCTAGTTTTCAATTGAAGGTTTGTTTTATTGTCTTTTGTTGTAAATCATTTCAAGAACTTATTGCAAGTGCAGGGACTATTCAGAAAAATATTGAATAAATCTGAATAAATAGATGCACCGTATGTATTCTATTGTCTCATGGAGTTGGCACTATCCTCATCACTGTTTTGACATTTCAGCTGCCACATTGCTCATCACACTTCAGAAAATAGTCAGCCTAAACAAGACAGAACCAAAAATGAGAAAGTCTCTGGGAGAGTTCATTGTCTCAAATTCTGATACTGGTCAGGGTGCACAAGCTAGATGGAGCAACATTCTGACATGATATAAGGGATCTTCCTATGACTAAAAACCACTGTGACCAAATTCAGTCTTTGAAGATGGACTTGTAGGACATTCTGAGAAGTAGAAACCACAGTGTTAGATTAATCAAATATCGAGCATAGACACATTTGCCTTCTGCTGAATGTGACTGTTGGCCTATCTAGAACCGTGGTTCCCAACCTTGGGTAACCTAGGTGGTCTTGGACTGCAATTCCCAGAAGCCTTCACCACCAGCTGTTCTGCCCAGGGCTTCTGGGATATGCAGTCCAAGAACAGCTAGGTTGCTCAAGATTGGGAACCACTGATCTAGCCCAATATTGTCAGCGCTAACAAGATTCTACCTGGAGATTCTAGAGATACTCTTGGTGTTCTCCAACATACCCTAAATTTTCAGCCTCACTGAGTGGGGCAATCCCTCTCATGTGACTTCACCTTGCATACACATGTGGTTCTGCTTGCCCTGCATGCTGGGTTCTGTTGAGATCACTGTGCGGAGGAGGAGGACAACTGTGTGCATGGAGGCAGAGTTGTGCACGGATGCACACACGTCCAGCTTAAAGGGAACCAGGCCTGACTCTGCTTAGCTTCCAAAATCTGGGAAGACAAGACATGTTCAAGATGGTCCAAGAACAGCAAGCTGGAAAAGTAACTTTTCCAATCTCTGAATAGTTCTGGGACATGCCTATATAGTAGAAGCCTATCTGACTATACTACTTAAACATTTTCCCCCAAAATGAAAAAAACATATTTTGGAGTGTGCAGGTTGCTCCATAATGTGATTGTAGTAGCCATCTCTGATCAAAACAGAGAGCTGACCATGCAAACATTCATTTGAGTTCTGCCCTAGCTTCCCTCTCCTTCTCCTTACATTTTGTTCTAATTAAAAATGACAAAAGTTATTACATAAAATACACTAATTGCACCCTTACTGCGTTCCTGGTACTTCAGAATCCTGTTGATGATGTGATGAGAATTATGCAAATGACAGAAAAAGAGGCCACAATCATTATTATTATTCTTTGCATAAATAAAGTACTTTGGGCAAAGGAATATTAGCCTGGAAACAAATGCCAGCAGAACCTCACCTTTCAGGGCTAAACGACACATACATATTTAGTTCCTTCTCTTACACAAGAGAGATTTTGGAGAAAAAGTGCAGTGCCTAATCTGGTTTGTGCTTCTGATCTAGATCAGGACTCCTGAATTTCACCCCATCGTGGTTGCATTTGAAACCCAACATGGCATATATTGGGAAGCCAGGGGGAGGTTCTTTTTCAGTGGAAAACCTGTTTCTTGTGGGGGCCCCAACAGGTTGGGGGGCTCTTAACTGCTTTCCTTCAAAAACAGGAGCAGCAACTAGATTAAGAAGTCACACTTAATTGTAATGTGAATGTCTCTCTGATTTGTTTCGGCTGTAAATAAGGTATGTTTGGTAACCATATTTCATTCTTGCACATCGAACACGAGTGACCTGCGGTCATAATAATGACACTGAAGTTTAAAGTTAGCAATGTAAAAATAGGAGCAGCCTAATAAATCAAACTTCAGCCAGTGTGGTACAGCAGATAGCATGTTGGACTGTTGCTCAGGAGAGCTCAAACTCTTGCTCAGCAATGGAAACTCTCTACGGCAGCGATGATGAATATATGGCACTCATGCCACAGCCAGTGTGCAGAGCCCTCTCTGCGGGCACATGAGCCATAAGTCACCACCGAGAAATACTTACCTGTCCTCCGATCCCTGATTTCAGCACTCCCCTCTGCTGGTGCAGTGGAGGGGTACAATGACCATTACCAGTCTAGCCTAAGGGGGGAATTGAAGGACTGGTAAGTATTTATCTGTTAATACCCCCCTAGGGGGAAAAAAACATTTAACCCTTGTAGTCCATTATTTTAAAACAAATTTATGTTGTGTTGCAGTTTGGGCCATCGGGCTCAAAAAGGTTCTCCATCACTGCTCTAGAGAGTAATAATGGCAAACCACACCTTGAAGATCTCATACACCTCGGAAACCCTGTTTGGGTCGCCACACATCAGAAGCAACCCGATGGCATGCAACAACAATAATTAATCAAGCTGCTACAACATCTAATTAACTTTGCCAGGCCATTGTGTCCTCTCAAAGTCAGAGCGAGTTACAACCTGCAAAAGTGGCCTAATATCTCTGGACACCAGAGAGGGTGCTTGTAAACCAATTACAGAGTGACCTGCCGTGCTGAGAGCAAATTGGATGGCAGGGCTTTTGTGAGTCTTTCTCCCACCGGCAGCCTCTCTCAAGCTGAAACAATGAATTTCATGTGGTTCCGTATTTGCCAGTAACCGTTGCTGCTGGGTTTTATATTAATGTTTCCCATCAGCTGACCAGGGTAAGAAAAATCAGGAACTCATATAACAGCTGCTATCTCTTGTGGGTTTTAATAGGTAGGGTGGTCTCTCCATTACATGAGGGTCTCATATTTCTCCATCGATTTATAGGGGCACCGCTTGCCAGAAGCAGACCGAAACAAGTCACTGCCTGAGGCAAACCCTCACTCACTCCTCATCGCAGGGGGTATTATAGCCTAAGCCAGTCCTGTTATTTTGGCACCTGAGGCAAAATTCTCGCTATTTTGGCACCTCGGGCAAAATACTCTCAGACAGTCGTAATACTGGTTACTCACAAAGTATATCCATGAGGAACACCAGGCAGGATTCAGAATAGGATGGTCAGTGATGGACCCGGAGTTTATGTTTCAGCGTGAGTGCTCAGACTGCAGGATGGCTCAGTGATTTAGGTATGTGGCTACAGAGCCAGAAGTTAGGGGTTCAATTCCCCACTTTGCCTCCTTGACAGGAGCTGGACTAGGGCCCCTTCCAGCTCTGGAGTTCTATGATGCTGA